GGGATTAAAACGTGCTCGTTGCTTTCGACTCGATCGAAGTCTCCAATTATGGCGGATCGACGCTTCCGTACGTAAGTCAACAGGACACTTGCTACATTTAGATTAACGCATTACCAACCGAACCAATTGCAGTTAAACGGACGTGTAAAAATTGGCCAAAGTGATTCGTTTATTGGCTTTGACGGGAAATCTGACATTTCATATTGCACGATTTCATAGGAATATTATCGAGGAACATGAATAATGTAAAATTGAACATTGAAGGGTTATTAAAGTTCGTAGATAAAGATAATGTTTGTTTGAATTAAAAAAGAGCAAGAGTGTACGTTCTCTGTCATCGATGAACTTACTACTCGGTTCATAATAATTTTCCAAGAACTGGAAAGTAGTGTAAATCGTTGCGTCTGATCGATAAATAGAACTCGGTCGAAAGAAACCTGGTTGAAGAGCGAGAGGAACGAGAATGTTTTTCCCAAGTATTTTCCCCGAGAAGTTTCGCAGAATATCACGCAATTACGGGGAAAGCGGTCCAGGGACACGGCTGTTCGCACGTGAATATCGCGACGAATCGATAACACGCTGCTCGGCCACGCAGAGAGACCGTTTGCACAATTATTGTTGCCCATTATCGTTATTCGATGAATCCAATCCCGATCCGCGAGCCCATATTCCGCTAATCCGCGGCCCGAGGACGCACGCAGCAAATGAAAATGTGTTTGCCCCTGTTAGGCGACGCGATTGCGCCTCTGTCGCGGACTTTTAGACTGCTTTGCTCTCGCCGAGAGGAGGCAAATGGTCCGACCACCTAGCGCTTCGACAGAAGACCAAGTTTCCACGATTTTCAAGCGTGAAATTTTCGAAGCTATCGAAAGTTGAGAATTTTTAGAAAATTTTCAACGAATTTTTAACAGAACCTTTTTGCAATTTTCTCGTTTTTTTTTTAATTCTTCGAGAATCCTCGAAAAAAGTTGGGCAAATTTTATTCCCCCGGAAAAAGTTTAGGCAACTGGTTTTTAACTATTCAACAGGACGAAAAGTAACTCAATCAATTTCTAAGAACCCCAACTCATCCGTGAAAAGCAATTTCTCCGAGGCAACGCAAGAACTGTCACGCAGCTGCGTCACATCACCTCCCCATCATCCTTTGATCTATTTTCACTCCCCTCCCGTATCGCCGACTTATTTCAACGTCCCATTATTACCTCGACGAATCATTTACGTAACGAACCGGAGGATGCATATTCAGCTCCTGATCGTATAAATACATCGAACAGAGTACAGGATGGTAGCGATGGGTGATTTTCATGAGGACGAATCGAAATGTCGCAATTATATAGCGGCCTGTGTGTGAAATTACGTGTAAACCCCTAATGACGATCCCAACTGGCCTTAGCTTGTTACATAAATAATACTCCGACGTGCTGCAATTACGACTGCAAGGGTTGACGATCTGGAGAATCGAGAAAACCTCAAAAATTCTCGAAAAAACTGACTGCAACCCTGGATCGTTGCATAAATAATACTCTAACGTGCTCCAACTCCAAGTACAAAGGTTGGCGATCTACAAAATTGAGGAAACCTCAAGAATTCCCCAAAAAAGAAGTGTCTATAATCCTACAAGGGTTAACACCCCAAAAAATCTCAAAAATTCCCCCCCAAAAAGCGCCTATAATCTTACAAGGGTTAATAACCCAGAAAATCGAGAAGACCTCTGCAATTCCCCCCCGAAAAAAAGAAAAAAGAAAAAGCACGGACGTGTCGTTTGGAAAGAAAAATGTCACCTATTTATCAAACGGAGGAGAAAAAGGAAAAGCGAGGTTCGTTTGGAAGATTTGGTACGAGGAACAATTTCACTCCATATTTCGTCCGTCGAGTTGGCCAGGCGTCCCAGTTTTTAAAAGCGAGCCGGTGAACGCGAATTTATTTTTACCTTCTTGCTGGCTCGCGCCGCTTAATAAGTGAACAGTTTCCGATGAAAGGAGCGTTCCCTTTGTCGAGAACGCTTTCCGGTGCTGGCGTAATTATTTCATCGTTGCGACGCGATTTTCGGTGCACCGTGACACACACACGCGCACACGCACGCACACGCGCGCGCACACACACTGAGAGAGAGAGAGAGCGAGGCGGGTGTGTGTGTGTGCTAAAAATATCCATCAGCGGAGCTTCTGCGCGATTCGAGTAGCTCCATGGTGCAAATCCGAGGAAGGCAAGATTTCCGAACTACATGAATCCAACCACCGTTAACATAATCCTCTAAACCGTGCAACCATGATTACCATACAATACTAAACACTAAACAACGGAACAAGATAAAAATCCTCGCGAAGATCACGCGAATCGACATCACGACGATCTCTCTGTTTCGCGATCGCGACGAACCGAAAGTAGACAGATAGATA